AAAATCTACCTGTTTTCTAGAAAAATATTTTCTATGGAAAACATTTCCCTTCGTACCAAACACACCCTAAATTAGTAAAATTTGTGTTGTCTATGCTAATTTATTTAGACCTCCATTTATACTTAAAAGTTCTTTCATAAAAGACTTTATTTGTATCACTCCTAACTGGTCATAACTATCTTGTAATGACGCATATTTTTAAATAAATTAAAAAGGAGGTTTTTGTTATTAAGACACCTTAAATTCTGAAATCTAGAATAGAAGATACACTTAGCAACAAGTAATAGTACACTCATATTGACTAATTTATAATCAGAGTTCTCAAATCATCTAGTTTAAGTTTAATAACAAGATAAGCATACCACCAAAAATAGAATATAAAATACACCCAATCAACGTATACAAAAGTTTTTTTGATTACATAGGTTGTAAGATTAGATACATATACATTCAAATGAAATGAACATACTTTGATAATTAATAGGAAACTTACGTAAATATACTATAAGTAAAAAATATTTACCATTTATAGTAATAATATTTTTTGTCACTTGATCACTTTTAATTCATTTATAATACAAATTTAATATATATTACAAAGAACAATTTATTATTCTAATATAATACAATTTTTAACGATGAATAATACATTTATCACACATTTTAATACACTTATAATATAATGTGACAATTTTTAACCAAACAAACATGATATATTTCAAAAAAATAATTTTATTTCATATATATTGCATACATAATTCACTTTTAATACATATTACATATTTAACAAAGCATTACTATAAATAGTAATAAACAAAAAATATTGCTAAAATCAGTAATTATTTTTTAAAATGTATTAATTTACGTAATTTGTCCATAATTAAGGGAAATCCCAAAAATGTACTCGAACAACCAAGAAAACACATGGGCCTAAGGTTTGTGGACAGAATGGTCTTGGCCCATCCCCAGCTTTCATCAAATTAAGTCCAATAACGTGGCATAAGTACAGAACACATATAACCAAAAGAGTAGGCCCAATTAACTTTACTTGACCCTAGGGGTGGGCACGATACGATATAGTATTAAAAAAATGGGAAAATTATATTTAATGGCAAACTAATAAATCAAATTAATTGATATAACTATCCTTTGATTTAATTGTGTTCCCTAACAAATTGTTTGCCAGTCACTTTTCTCCATCAAACTCTCGCTCGCCACTCTCCTCTCTCGCTCCATCTCTCGCTCGCTTTCTCTCACTTTTATACAAACACAAGTGTATAAAATATGTTTCTATTTGTATAAAGCTGAGGAAATTGTAGTAAATACATATATTTTTGTTCCCCTCTCCCAGATCTCGCTTCCACTCTCCCTAATCTCGCTCGCTACCCTCGCGGCCTTGCCTCTCTCGCTTATACATATAGAAGCGAAGTGTATAGATTGCGTTTCTGTTTGTATAAAGCGAGAGAAAATTGTATATACACATGCAAATGCATATATTTTCGTCCTCTACACTTATAATTATACAATAAAAATACTCCCCTGCCCAGTTTCTTTTGCCTTTCTCTCTTTCTCGTTTTATACAAATTCAAATTGTATATAATTTCTCTCTTTCTCGTTTTATACAATCTGATTCAATTGTATATTCCCTGCCCAAGTTTTTTTTTTGTCTTTCTCTCTTTCTCATTTTATACAAATTCAAATTGTATATAATCGTTCAATACACTTATAATTATACAATTCGTTTTATACACTTTATTTTTATATAATTCTCTGCCCAAGTCTTTTTCTCTTTCTCGTTTTATACACTTCGTTTTATACAATTCGCTTCAATTGTATATGTATAGCGAATTATATATTTATATGTTTGCTATAGAGTGTAATTATGTAAATTTTGCTATAGAGTGTAATTATGTAAATTTTGCTATAGCATACAAATATAAATTTTACGTTTGCTATATGTGAAAGTTGTCCTAAAAAGATTGATTCAATAATTTTAATTGATGGGCTCTGAATATATTATACTATACTATTATAGTATTAAATTAATTCAGTACGATTCAATATTTTAGTTGATTTACATATACTAGTATATATAATAAAGAATGATGAATTTAATTTTTCAATGAACATCTCAATTATATCATACTAAGACCTTATACATGTAAAAACGTTTAATAAAGTACTTATATTTTTCTTGTTAATCGATCACCCAAAAAAAAAATTTAAATGAAGATATAATAATCAAAATTTCAAACATCTAAATTAGTTACTACTATTTTGTATATTTGCTAGTATTTTATATATATATATATATATATATATCGAAAACCAAACTTTTAAAAAATGCATACCAAATATATATATTCCATATCTAGCATACCATACCCTTGTTCCTACCCAACCCCATATCAAATCTTAAACACAATAAAGTACTACTTACCTGTTGAGGAACCCCTTGTCTGTTTTTTTTTTTTAAATAAACTTATACTATGAGTATATATTAAGAAAAAATAATTAGTACTCAATACGAAACACCACCAAATATAATGATATGAGTAGTTAGTTGGTTCATTATGATGTTCACTAAGTAACTACTACCAAATTTAGATAAGAAAAGGAGGATTTATTCATTATCACACAAGATTGCATTAAAACCTCGCAAAACAATAGGGGATTTAATACATCCACCGTTACCTCTCGAATCCAAATTGATTTGTGTTAAAGCAAATCAATTTAGACCAGAGTATATTGGTGCCTGTACATATTATATATAACACTTACTATATTTACATCTACATCCAAGAAGAATTGACTGCTCGAAGCTAAAATGGAGCAACTGTTCTGATTTCTCCGTTGCTAGTCATCCATGGATGCCCTGTTTATCAACACCATATTAACACAGTTTAGTACTCACACTAATTAATTACTCCCAAAAAGAAGAAGTAATTAATGGGTAAAGAGAATATTAATTAATACTAATTCATGATTATTGTATTTTTTTTTAAAAAAAATTGGTCAAAAGTTGAGAGAAAAAATCATACTGAGAACTTGTTCGGCAGAGAATCTTCTAGAAACGTCTTTAGAGAGCATTCTCCGAAGCAAATCCTTCGCCGCCGGCGATACTGAATGGAAGATCCTAGGCGGAAACCTAAGGTTAGCTCTGAGCACAGCCTCGAAGATCTCTGAAGCTGAGTCACCAAAGAAAGGTGGAACTCCGGCAAGCATTATATACAGAATAACACCAGCACTCCAAATATCGATCTTCTCACTGTAGTTTCTCCCAGCTAAAACCTCTGGCGCCACATAATACGGCGTTCCAACCACGCCGCTCATCAGCTGGCCCTCATGGAAACACTCCGCCGATCCAAAATCAGCCAATTTCAGTTCGTTAGAGTCGGTGAATAAAATGTTATCCGGTTTGATGTCCCTGTGGGCTACACCGAGACGGTGACAGTGCGCTATTGCTTTCATTAGTGGTACCTATAAAAACATTAAGCATAAAATTTATCAGAAATGACGAAAAACTAAAATAAAAGCCGATTATGAATTCTACTTCGCTTAGCTTTACAATTTACTTTCTCCTCCAATTTTCGAAAATTCAACAACGTGCTGCATCGTAGATCGTTCCTGATTCAAGCCATTTTACGAAGCAAAAGTAAAATTTCCCCATTTTGATCAGCAACGAGTGAGATTTTGGTGATCTGGAAGAGTACCATGACATCAACAGCGTCGGACTCTGAGAAAATCGGTTGACTACTGAGGCGTTGGAACAAATCGCCGGAGTTGCAGAGCTCTAAAACCATATCAAGGTGAGTATCGTCCTCGTAGATATCGAAAACACGAACAACATTAGGATTTGGCGAAAGCAAGTGCATAATTTTCGCTTCGTTGTAAAGACATTGTCGATCTATGGCGTCATCGGCGATTAGGCGCTTGTCGATAGACTTGACGGCGAATAGCTCACCGGTCGCCGACGAGTAACACTTGAAAACGGTGCCGAATCGTCCCCTTCCTAACTCTCCACCCACACAATAATTTCGCTTCAGTGACTCACTCATTCCGTATGTTTTGTTTTTTTTTCTCTACTTCTCTGACTTATTTTTTTCGTTTACAAGGGTTGGTCTTATAGAGTAGGAATTTTATGTGAGAATATTCGGTAGAGGGGATTGGCCAATGATATACCGCCATCTGGAGCTTTTTACTAGTAGTTTGGTAGCGGGATAAGGTTTGTGTTATTTATTTATAAGTTATACGACCTTTGATAGAATGATAAAATTAAGTTATTTATATAAAAAATTAATATTATATTTAATTGACAATTTAAAAATTTATTTAACTAATATATGTATAAATTATGAATGATTGCGTATATTAGTTTATGTGGAACGTGAAATAATTAATAGTATAAAAAATAACTATTTTTGGCTTAACTAATATTTGTATAAAATAATACATAAAGTTATCGATGATAAAATAATACATAAATTCTCTCATAATTAATTTTTATATTACTAATGCATAACTCTAATCAACTAAAATAACCTTGTTACTTTTCAAGAAAGATTATAATCTTAAGAGTTTGTTTAGCATTATTGTTAAAAATTGCTTGTTTTAGAAGTGTTTATTTAAAATAGTTTTTTAGAAAAGTGTTTTGAAATAAAATAATTTGGGTTTAACTAATTCATTTAAAAAGTATTTCTGATAAGCCATTTATATTTGACTAATCTTTTATAAAAAGCCTTTTTTAAAAGTCCAATCACGAAAAATGATAAAGTACAAATGAACTTTTAATATAAGATTATTTATAGAGAGAAATTATTATATATATCAATTATAAAATTCTAATCAAACTTTTATTTATATTAAATTAAAGTTTACATATTCAAATTTTCAAATCAATATGATAAATAGATAAAACAACACATAAATATAACATAGTGATTTAAAATATAATTAAAAATATCAAACCAAATAAATTTGAAAATCATTCCACAAAGTTTAGTCACTACATACAAAAAGTTTCACTGTGAAAGTAAATAAATATAAAATATATATTGGTAAATATGTATGCAAGAGTAATAAAAATATTTTGATCTTGAAAAACATAATTTTCTTTATTTAAGAAATATATATATATATATTACAATCCAAAATGGATGCGATGACATTCTAAAGTCAGCCTAAAACTCAATATCATTACACTAACATGCAAAAAATTTATAATAAGCGTAAAAATACCCCCATAATCTGGTTATAATATGTACAAGCCTCTGAAGTATTACAATTGATTCAAAAGAAAACACTAGTCTCAAATTAACTTGTTTCTAGAATAGAACAAGATCATAACTAAGGAGAAAGAAAGTCCGTTGAGACGACAAACAACTATCTCACAAATCTCCAAGAAACCTCGTAAAAGAAGAGAATGACAAGTACCACAAAAATTCAGGCTCGTAATCTACAAAAGTTATAGAAGCAAGAGGTGAGTACCAAACCACACGGTATTCAACATGTAAACCTCTAAACAGAAGCTAAGGGAATGAAATACGGGTACTCCTACTACCCCAACCGAACCCCACAACTATAACCTGCATAAAATAGCTCAATTTAACAGTTCACAGTTTTCAAAGCACATAGCTTAACACTTTAATAATTTTATATAATCAACAATGCTACTCTAACAACTTCATATCCTCAATAACAACACTCTAACAATTGCATCTCTTCAATAACATGCTCAATATTCATCAATCACAAGTTCCACAAAAAGGCACTCACAAGATCGGTAACACACAAGATCAAGTTCACCAATAATAAAGAAGTGCAATGCAATGAGATGCAATGTCAAGTATAGTGATGCATGTCTGACCTAATGATACACACCCGTTGTCTCTCAGTCCGAGACCCATGGGGGACATATTTGTCCATGCATCCATTGCGGCTTGCGATACGGTCCTCGATAATAGTAACCATCGCGGCGTGCAATACGTCCCTCGAAATATAGTGTTCATCGCGGCGCGCGATACGTCCCTCGAAATGATACATCCTCTTATCACATAATACTTATCATCACCATGTCTGAAAACAACTGCAAATGACATGTTCACACAAATAGTGAGGATATGACCATTTTTATAACAAGGCACAATTCACAATAATACAACCGTGATACAACATCAACAAATAAGTAATAAGCCTTCAAATCATTCTCAAACATCACGCATCAATAATTTATCACATTCCTTTTTATTACCCTTTTTCATCATTAAACTTACTCAACATGAACAAGTCAACCCATCACCAGTTTTCATTACTCCCTAACACATATACCGTCACACTTAACAAGAATTTAGAAATTCACTTGTCTCAATCAATAGAGCAATTACTCCAGAATTTGAGCCTTTCTCTTTCGGTTGGCTCTCAAATCCATATAATCTAGTCAAATAGATAATCACAATAAGATTTCAAGACTAACAACACCCACATTGCTATGTGTCTAGTCTAGACTCAAAGAAAATCATTGAGATATATATTTAAGTTCCTAATGTTGATGTTAATTAATATGTCAACTCTTTCAATTTCTCTAAATTTCAAGCCTAGAATTAAGTCATAATTTCTCCAAACACTACAACCCCAATAGCTTACATAAAATACAATACACCCAATATTTAATTAGATATCTCCATATCAAAAATTAACTTTATTATACGATAAACAAATATCAAAATTTAAAATTAAAGCCACTGATTATGAAACCAGTGGCGAAAACTATTGAACCCAAAGCAATTATTATAATTACTTAATGCAATTATTTACCTTTAAAACATTTAAACTGTTATTTTATTATTATCCAACTTAAAACTCCTCCAAATCTTTATAACCCACCAACTCTAATAAGCACAAGAAGCAATGATCCCATTTATACTATAAACAACGGAACACAAGCAAACATAATCATAGAAAATTTCCGTAAACACAATTATCTAATTTCAATTCCTCTTAATAACAATATAAAATTTTCTACTGCTTGATAATACATAACAAATCTTTCAAAACTAAAACTCAGAAGATTGCTCTTCGTAGCAAGTCTTTTGCATTACACTTTGTGGTAAAACTAAAATATATGTTAATCCTATTTCTCTTTAATTTTATTTTTTATATATATGGTCAAGTTATATAGGATATTTATTAATTTATAAACCTGATTAATTAATCACCAACTACACTAATTGTTTAAATATTATTTATTTAATAAATACTCGCAAATTAAATAACTATTAGCTCAATATTTTTTAAATCAACTTCACCGATCAATCAAAAGTGACTCGGGACAACTAAGTAAAATTGTGATTTTGTGAAAATTTTCAAAAATGACTTTTCGAGTCATTACAATAAATTTTTTAGTTTCTTTTAAGATAGAAATATAAACAGAGAATTTATTTCTACTTTCATTTGAAAACATATTTAGTGATTGTCCAAACACGTTAACTTTCAAAATAAAGTGTTTTCTACTTAAAATAAATATTTTAAACCTCCCAAAAGCTCTTCAAAAACATCATAGTATCATCATACAATCTCCAAGCAATTTGTTGAGTAACAAACACTCTTTGTGACCCATTTGTACTTGCTCTTCTCACTGACTTAGCTATTGAATAAGAAATATACACCAGACATTCAATTAGAGCTATTTTTGAACTATATAATTATATATTCATTTAAAGGATCCTCTACATTTATATAAAAACTATTATTCATAGGTTACAAAGGATTAAAAACTACATTAAGCTCTAACATACCACAACCAACTTGGAAATTTTATTAGTAATACCGTCAATCAAAATATAATTATATAATATTTATACAATAGTATGTATGTACTTTTAAATGTTTATAGTATAAATTATACATCTTATATGCAAATCACATAGAATATACATTACAAGTAAGAACATTTACGTCAAATGTGAGAAGGCCAATATGAAACGTAATGATTTTCTACATGGAAGAATTTTGTACGATGGAAATGAAATACATTACGTAATTTAAGGCCTAAAATATGGAAGTATATTGTAACTCAACGGATTTTCTATTATTAAGTAACAGACAAATGATAATCCAAATTACATAAAAATATTATACAAATTAAAGTCACAAAATTTGGGGAAAGCCAATTATTAGCTAAAGAGGGTAAGAAAAATGGTGTAGAATTGTTTTAAAATGAGTTATAAAAATGAAATAAATCTATTGTATCTAATATTAGGGGTAGAGGTGGTATGAAATGGTATTAGAAATTTTGGTACCGTAATTTATGGTATACGGTTTATAAACTATTATATTATTACCATACCAATTCAATCTATTATAACTTGATATTTGCGATATGGTAAATTAATAATCATAATTTATACAACTTCAACTAATATATATATACTCATATAACAGATTATTATAACTTCGATAATTAAAAAAAAATCTCTATTAAATCATACTAACACATTATTCATGTAGTTATATAATATATATATATATATATATATATATATATATATATATATAAGT